TGAAGTGAGAAGAAGAGTTTCGTCGGGGACACTAGTCATATTCCAAGTCGTTAGCAGCCACACTGAACTGGACAAGGGAGTCGAGAATGTTCCCACCACAGCTCATACTATAGCTTGCCTCTCACAAGTCCCACCCCTAAAGAGCAGGTGCCGCCGTGGCCCGCCCACTTCTCTGCCTCATATCTAACGGGAAAGATGTCAGCACTGAAGGCGATGCATCAGTTTCTGGAATTGTTTTTTTATAAAAGAGATTTTTATTAAGTTAATTTTAATCTAATGTTTCTGTGAATTGAAACATACATTGTACTCATAAAACTATAGTGCATGTCTCCGTGTTCACCTATCATGGCTTCTATGGACAAGATGTTAAACAAAAGGACAGAAAGGACATGGTTGACACCCTCCTGGAAGTTTCAGCCCCCCTATAACCAAGATGGTTACCGTTTCAATATAATTCCCCAATGAGCACAATGGAGTCAGAGACGTCCTGCAAGTTAGCTTTTCCAATGTTCTGGAAATGGTGAGACACACAACTCCCCTGTGTGTTCCTAAGAAGAATCGGACACATAACCCTTAGCAAACATAACCGGGAGTGCCACCTGTGAGGACAGTATTCAAAGAGACCTCCTCTATATGCACCGAAGTAGTCCACCTTCAAGGAAAAATTAAAAAATCAGGCAGAGAAGTTGTTAATCTTAGCACCTGACGAAAGCAAACTTCTCCCCCCCCCCCCCACCGGCCACTGTCACTCTTAGCTTTGAAGTTGGAGGTGGTGTTATTAAAACGAACACAAACATCAGCCTCTATTCTGCCCCCACCCTAGCAGCCTATGAACTTGGGAATCCACCTGCTCAGACTTCATCTCCTGTGAGAATGTAGGGCTTAATTCCTCAAGCCTCTGATCCATAGCGCGACACTATCAGCCTTCCACGTGTCTTGACTCCGAAACCTCCCAGTTGTCAGAGAGCTGGGCTACAGACTGGAGTTAAAGTGGGAGAGGTGGCCACTGTAGATGAACGGACCCCCCCCCCCCCAATGCTGTACTACAGGAGATAAGAAGAACAACACCAGAAACCAGGTCCCTGTGTTGTTGGCAGAAGCAGAACCCAGAAGCCGGCCTCACTTACTTTTTGACACCGACACAGCCATGTCCCTTGCTGTCCATGTCAACAGAGAGCATGGGAAGGCTTGCAGGGCTCCTTTACTTCCGCAACTAATCAATAAGGGAGAAAAGCTTGGGTTTAATTCTTAGAAAGGGAGAGAATACATATTCTCAAGTAGAAACCGAATGGTCCTTTTACAGCTTCACACAGTCCCCTGATGCCTGTTTAAATCTCCAGTCCCCAGTGACTGGAGAGAGAGGATAGGCCCGAAGGGCTGGGTGATGGGCTGGGTGCTTTCATTTGACAGTAAGAAGGTGTAAATGGAACTGAAGCCTCCTTCCAAACCAGGGCTGGGGTCCACAGGACTGCTCCCTGAAGACACTGCAACTCAGACTCCAACTGGGGAAAACCAGCCTCTCTTTCCGGCCTCCTCCCAGTATGGGCTGTGTTTCTTTTTCTCCTTTTTTCCTTTCTTTTGCTTTTTGTTTGTTTGTTTGTTTGTTCAGTCCCCTTGCTTCTAGCTATCAATGAAATGCAGAAGGGAATTAATTCAAGTTTTTGTCAGAAAGTGTTTCGCTACCTCATAGTTTCATCAAAACTCTGGGAGATGGCCATGCCGACTTAAAGAAGAAAGTGTGCGCACTCTCTCTCTCTCTCTCTCTCTCTCTCTCTCTCTCTCTCTCTCTCTCACACACATACACACACACACACACACACACAAAATCAGATAGCTTAGCACAGAAAGGTTGGTGGTGGGGGTGGGGAAGTCAGCCCATCAGATTTACATACAATCATCAAAACATTTGAGATACAATAACACCCATGACTGTCTTTACATTTATCATCTGAGGAACATATGAAAAAAAAAAAAAAACCCCCACAACCCACAAACATTTCCCAAAAGGGGGGGGGGGAGGGCTGCTTTAAAGAAAAGAAAAATCAAAACAAAAAGCCTGGTCCAGAGTTTCTTCTTACTCAGCTGAAGCCATAAATTAAATACACTTCCTCTCTAATCACTTTAGACGTCGGCACTCCTCCTCCAGGGGTTACTGTGACATGGCAAGAACATCATTCAATATAGTCACAAGATGCTATCGTTCTTCCAGAAGTGGAGGATTAGCAAACAACACTGCAGGCGTGGGATAATCTCCACTCCTGACACACACACACACACACACACACACACACACACACACACACACACACTTCCAGTTGCTAAGTCGCTTAGATCACTGCCAAAGAAACCCAACACTTAATATACATAGAGCTATCGCATCCATCCACAGTCAGAGCAGACAGGGAGAGCGTGCTGCCGCTCCGGCTACAAGAACAGCACTTTAGTTGGGAACTGTTTTACATTCACCGTTTGCTAAGCATCCCAGAAACAAAACAAAACGACTCACGGCGGCTCTCTACGACAGCACACTACATTGTCTTATTATCACTACTATTATTTTTCTTTTCTTTTTCCCCTGAAAGAGTAAGAAGAAAACCTACCTAGAAGCAACTAAAACGTATCATTTTTATAGGCTTATCAAGAACTGCCAAAGAAACCCCAATGTTTTCTCTGGCAAAGGAATTCAATAAGGAGGTACAATTTGACACAGTGAAATAAAACCAGGCTGGCTCTCAGCCAACATGACGTTAGGAATCACACACAAGCCGCAACTGCTTTCTGGTTCATGGCTGACTTTTTAAAGCTACAGCGTGCCTGTTCACTTTGGCTAACTACCTTCAGCACAATTAGTGCAAGGGAATGACCACCACTTCCAGACAGGCAGAATTGTTTATGCACACATTTTGTACAACGAAAAAGAAGCAGTCTAAGTAGCCTGTTATTTTCTCCTTCCCTTTCCCTGTTGCCACATAGATCTTTACTGTTGTTCTGCGTAGCCATGCCATGCTGAAAACTATTTCATTTTCTCCCTGTGGGAAAAATCAGAGAAAACCCAGGGCTTACGGGCTACACACAGTGAACACTCGGAAGCTGCTGTCCCACGTTAGTCTTTCTTTCCTAACAGAGGCGTGGATGAAGTTCCCAGAGCTGGCTTTTAAGTAATCCCTTTGTGAGCATAAGGAAAGCTCTGGCGGGCCAGCAAATCCCTTCACTTCACAATATAGGAAGCAGCATCTTTCTGAGAGCACGTATAATAGAAGACCAGTGTTCCTGAAAAAAACGTTCACAGTCCACCCAAGAAAGGCAACCCAAGCCAACCCACACCAAATCTTATTCTACAAAAGAAAACACACTCCAGCAAAGTTTAATTTTAATGGTTTAGCTAAGCTTCTTGCCCCCTCCCAATTCAGCCAACACTTCTAACCCATTAGCACTTGGTGTTGCCAAAGTCATATATAATAAATATGTGCCAACCTACCACCATCATTCCAACTCAGGAGGGAAACTTAGTGGTAGGGCGAAGGGTGAGTTTTCCATTGTTACCTGGCAGATCTTACAGGGTCCTGGATTGTCTGGGAACTGCTACTGGGATGGGGAGGGGGGACATTCCTGTCCCATAAGACTCATAAGCATTTGTACATGAGTGGTAAACACACGCCAATCAACATTTCGACACTTTTAGTTCAAGATAATTATCAATTCTCAACACTCTCCCCGCAACAAAAACCCAAGCCAAAAGACAAGGACAAAACAAACTAACAAAATCCACCGAAAACAGGGAGAATTCAAGTTCCTTCCAAGGACCCTGAGAATCCTTGGTCACGTGTGCTGTGTCGATTCTAGGCAGAAGTGAGAAGAAAGCGGTCTGCCTCTGCTTTACTAACTCTTAAGGACATTCAGAGATCACAGGTCAACACGTATGATAAAAATTTGGGTCCTGAATTCCTAAGTCACCCCACCCACCCAAACACTTGGTTTCAGGAATGGCTTTAGAAGTTGTCCGTTTCCCAAAGGACCACAACTGAGAAGTATGTCAAAGGCTCTCTTTCCTGGGCTTTGCCACTGCCTCGCTGCAAAAGCGGCCATACATTTTCAGGGACGAATTGTAAGAGCTCAATATTTCTGTGTATGCATTATCACGAAGGGCCAAAACAAAGGCAATGGGGCGCTAACTCATCAACAGATCCACACTTTGGGACTTGATGTGAAACCTACTTTCCACTACAGCCAAAGGGACTGGCTTTGAATCTTAAGTCTGGTGGGCAGGGGAGCCAGGGACACAGCTCAGGACAGTTCTCACGGCAGCTCTGACTATGCCACTCTCCAAGGGAAAGATGGAGGAACCCTGAGTCTTCCCCAGGTACACTTGCAGGAGGAAGGACGCCCTGAAGTTTCTCTGAACACCTTCCCCTTCACATAAAAAAGGCTATCCTCCTCTTCCTGCCTAATGTGATCAAAAGTTTGCCTGTTAAATAGATGTGTTTCTGCAAGTGTTAAAGGAAATTGGTCCCATTTCATCAAGAGTGAGTCACAGAGGTGTCCTCACAGATGGTAAAAGGTTTCACTGACCAGCTACTTTATAACTTTGGAAATAAGTTGACATTTGTGAGTGTGTGTATGTGTGTGTGTTTCACCCTCTTATTTTTGCACACTCTAACAAGCACGTTAGCCATTTGCTCTTATAAGGATCTGTATGTTAACATTGCTCTTGTTTGAGGGGAAGCACGTGTGAGTTGTGTGCTGTATGCAAGTGGTGTGTTTGTGATGATAAAACGTGTTGTGGTGTGTGTGTGTGTTTGGGGGGGGGGGCGCCCAAACGAGACTTTCTAAGGCAGTACATCTGTACTAAGGTAACTTTGGATAGCCTGGCCTCAAGATTCTAGAACCAAGAACTTTGGGGGCCACTTGAAAGCGCCCTCGGGTGGGGGAGGGGAGGCCAGTCAGGAAGGACGGGAGACTAGGTACTTTGAGAGACGGCTTCTATACTGACCAGCACCCACCTCCAGGAAGCACAGGCGGACCAGGAAAGCCAGGCTGTGCTGTAGGAACCTTTCGCCTGGTCCCGTGCTGCACCGAAGTCCCCGAGGGCAGGGCTGCACGCGTCCCGAAGGGCGTCTCCAGAGCAGAGGACAGGCGTCCTCCCGGCCAGCGGTCGGCTAAGCAACTCGCGGTGGCGCAGGGGACAGAGGGGAAAGTTTCTGTTGAGATTCGGAGGGAGAACCGGGCGGTCTGCCTTGGGTGGGAGCTCCTAGGGGTGTGGCGCCGAGCCTAGCACCCCGTCCCGTCCCGCCAGCTCTGCCCCGCTCCACTCCAGGTGACAAAGTGCACGTCCGCGGGGCGCCGAACACACGGAGACCGCGGGGCGGGCGTCTGGGGGTAATTTGGATGGTTTTGTTTTGTTTTGTTTTTGTCCTTATCCTGGTGCTCACTGGTTCCTTTCATCCTGGAGAGGAGGGAGGGCGGGCGTGTTCCCAAGACGGCCTGTGAGCCCATCACTTACCTCCCGCCCAGCCGCTCGGTGGCCGCCACGCGCGGAGCCCAGAGAAACGCCGGGCGCGCGCGGCACGCCGGGAGTTGTAGTCCACCGTGGCCCCAGGGGTCTCGGGAGATGGGGTTGGAGAGGGGTGGAGAGGCAGCGACTAAGAAGGAAAGAACTGAATCCGCTGGGATTTCGAGGAGAACGGTTGCCAATGGCTCAAAACTTCCCGGGAGCAGAAGGGATGGGCCCCACCCGGGAAAATCAGTAGAGTGGAGGTTTTCGACTTCACACCATTTTCTTGTGGATAGCCCCGCTGTACTGCGTGAGCCGGCCGTTAGCAACAATGATTTCAGGAGATTTCCCAGGCCAAGTTCCTATTTTGTAGGGCTCCGCTTCCTCTTCACTGTGAACACTTGCCTGGCGTACTTTGCTTAGGGGCTCCTGTTTTCTCGTTGGAGAAAGAGCCTAACTCTCCTTTTACCCACCACTCTACACTCTACAAAGCTCTGTTTACTGCTTCGTTTCAGTCTGTTAGATCCATAAAGCAACTATGGGATTTAAGCAAAGAAAAGCTAAAGACCGTTTTGTGTGTCTGCACCTGGGGAGGTTGGAGTCAGCCCTGCTCAGTCACTTCCTCCTCCCACCCTTCTCTTCGTTGTTAGGGGGACCTAGTGGGAGAAGGAGGCTGGGAACAGCTGTAGTACAGAGAGCTAAAGAAGAGGGACCTTTGTGGAGCATTTTCTCCAGATAGTTGGTGAGGTCGGGAGAGCTAGCTCAAGCAGGAATGTGCTTGAGCTAGTAGCATCCCTAAAACTTGCTGGCCAGCTTAGCTTGGGATCCTTTGCCAGTTCCAGGCCAAAGAGAGACTGTGACAAATATGTGGACAGGGCACCGGTAGACCTTTGGCCTCTTCACATGCTACACCGAAGCCACGCGAAGACAGTTGCACAAAGGTCTGCAAACGCCCATCAGAAGCAGCTGGTAAATAGATTTATAAATGGTGCTCTAGGTCTAAGCCAGGTGGGTGCTGGCAGACACAAACCCCCAATCCCCAACCCCAAAGCTATCTCTGATTGATAAGCATGTACAAAGGGTTTCCTCCCACAGTCTCACTTGGATTTACAAACCACAGTTAAAGGCAGGCCCATGCCCTGGCCGGAGACCTGGCAACACAACATGAACTCACTGCTATTTTTGGAGGTTTTTTTTTTTTCCCACCACCTTACAGGTCTTTTGCTAAGATATTTTGGTTTCTGTCCTTGTGTCTTGTGTCTTTATGGGATTTCTATGCGTTTGTCTCAGCATCTGTATGCGTTTCTTGTGTTTTTTCTTTGCCTCTTTTTCCCCCTGTTATCTTATTTAACTGTTTTGTCTTATTCGTTTTTATTTTATCCTGTTATTATTTTTTTAGTTGTCTATTTGTTTTCTAATGAGACAAAAAAAGAAAGGGTATGGATTTGGGTAAGTGGGAAGAATCTGGGAGGAGTTGGGGGAGGGGAAGCAGAATATATTTTATGAAAAATATTTTTTTAATTAAAGAAAATATATAAATGTGTGCATGGGTGATAGGTCCATAGAGAGTCAGTCACCCAATGCATTAGGAGAGCAGGGTGGGAGGGGAAAGGCAGTGGGAGAGAGGTAAAGATTGTAAGATGAAATATGATAAATTCATTGTCGAAAAGGAGACGAATGAAAGCCAGGACCTCAGAAGTCACAGAGACCCAGAGTCCTGGCGTTATCACTTCCGAGTTAGGTCTATGAACTCCAAAGTTATTTAACCTCTCCGAATCTCTTTGATCTCGGCATTAAAATTTAAGAAATACCAGTTGTGTAACAATGCCTGTGAGTGGCAGCACAGATTAAAATAGGCAGGAGACACTCAGAATAGTACGTGTCCTATTATAAGCACTGAGCTAATGTTAGCTACTATTATTATCTACAGAAATTCCTTTTGTGGAAGTTATCAAAAAACGAATTTGAGTGGAAGCTGTGTTAAGAGTCTGTGACTATGTTCGAAGCTGGGGGCAGCATCTTAAACTAGACAGGAAGTAACTGAAGAGTCTTGGGAGAGAAAATAGGCAAAGCGAGGCAAACAGTTGCATGTGGGGGAGGGAGAGGAGGGAACCCAAGGCAGTTATCACTTTCTGGATTAAGGATGTGGTGGTTGTTGTTTCAAACACAGATGCAGCCACTGGAATACAAAATTTTGGAGAAAGATAGTCAGTTTGGTTTGGAGCCAAACACGAGGCTTTCTGGGCGTGGATGACAACACAGAGTTGGAAATGCTACTTTGAATATTACATGGTGATACAGAATCCTAGGAGCCACTGATGTAAGAGAAGTTGGGAAGCCTGTGTAGAGACAAAGGGAAGGGCAGCAGGGGTGGATAGGAGGAGATGAGGAGTCCTCTGATAATGGTAGGCAGGGCTGGCCAAGTGGCAGGAAGAGCCACAGGAGTGAAGACCGTCGGGGCCAAGGAAGGGAGGGGACAATGGGGAGGACAATGTGCCAGCAGAACAGTCGCACAGAGCAGAAGCCAGTGACATAGACGAGACCGCTGGATGTTGAACTGGCCCAGGGAGTTGTTTTGGAAATGTATGAGAGTGAGTTTGCTCGTGCTGCTGATTGGGAAACGATCCTGGATGGAGATGCTGGAGCCAAAAATGCTAGGCATCTTCTGTTATCTGGAGCTACTGAACTATCTTACATCCTGTGTGTCTCCACTATCCCACAGCCTCATGCTTAATTCATGTAGGTGAAAACCTATGTTGAGTTTTCTCAGCCTATACTGTTTTACACTTATATATCAAGTGTTTTTCACAAGGTCTTAAGATACATTGACTTTTCCTGGAGTGTAGCAACTTGAATGATGACATCATTTGGGTCACTGGTACAGTTTATCTCGTGGCTGCCCCTCCCCCCCCAGGTTATTCTAACATGTGGGCACAAAAATCTATTTCACCAGGGTTTATTTCTCCTACCTAACGGTTACTTAACACTTCAGATTGTCGACTGGACTAGATCTGGGCTTGACTAAGGCATGCCTCTGGGCATGTCTGAGAGGGTATGGCAAGGAATGGTTAAATGAGGTGAGAAGATGCTCTCTCCCCGTGCCCAGCACCATTTGGCAGGTGGCCCAGATACAAAGAATTCCTAAGATAGCACTGCTTGCCTGCCTTGACTTCTCCCTGATGTGGAGGGGTCTATCCCTGCTACCACCATCTTACACTGACATCAGATACCAGCATTTTTGAGTTCTCATGTGGATCACAGATCAGAAACTCACCAAGAATCTCCTAGATGCTTGGTGCTGGATTGGTATTATGGATGCTCTTAGTTAGCCTCACAGACGGCCTTGTTCTCAGCCTGCCCAGCATGCATACAGCTATTGTGGGATTACTAACCCCTATCATAAAAACCATTCCAACGCACCCTCCTCTTCATACAGGAATTCATCCTGTCAGTTCTGCACTGTAAAGAACCCGGATTGATACAGCACCCACTGACAAGCCTTTTCTCATGCCTCCATCCCTCTTAATCTCCTCAGCACCTGCTAAGCACTGATCTGTGGATTTCTGAAGGAAGAAGTAGCAAGGATGCCGGTGTAGCTGGATTAAACACTAGAGGATTACCAGGAGGAAGGCTCAAGATGACCCCGGGACTGGGGACAGATGACGTAGGGTTTGTAGGCCCTGCATGGACTTTGCTTCCATTCTGAAGAGGTCAACTGTTGGAGAATTTTGAGTCGATGAGTAATATGACCGAGTGTATTTTTAAAGGATGATTTTGGCTACTTTCTCAAGGATGCATCATAGGGGACAAATTTGGAGAGAGACTAATCAAATCAATGCAGTAATTCAGGCAAGTTGCAGTAGAATCTTGAGCCAGAGCGGTAGCAATAAAAAATGATGGGTTACGATCAAGGGTGTGCACTTCCCTTGCGAAGGGTTTGGTTCCAGGCACCTGCAGCAGATGGCTTGCAGCCAATTGTGTAACTCAGCTGCAGTCATGCTTCCGTTCCCCTAGCACATGACACACATATATATTTTTTAAAATAAACATTGGTGCTGGAGAGAGAGCGAGCTCAGCTGTTAGCACTTGATGCTCTTCTGGAGGACCTGGGTTCCATTCCTGGAACCTGTATAGTGGCTCACACCATCTGTGACTCCAGTTCCTGGGGATCTAGACTAGTTCCTGACCTTCAAGGGCACAAACCATACGTATGGTACACAAACATACATACACCGGTAAAATAAATCTTAAAAGCAATAGATTAGATGTGGGAGAAAAACCCAAGATCTTCTGAGCATACAGAAAATTCAGGATGAAAGAAAAATGTAGACAATGAATGTGAGGGGCTTGGAGGAATGAGACTTTGGGAATGACCCCCAAATCCTGGACTTCTTGTGAAGACCAGCTAAGTTTGGGTAAATGGAGATAGTGAAGTCATCCCAGAGGAATCGGTACAGTGGCAATGAGTTTGTGGATGTGGGGAGTGAGGATGTATGTGTGGGCTCTGTCACCCTGTAGATGGACAGGAAGAAGGCTAAGAATCAAGCAGATTCTTGGTCCACTTAAGAATGTTGAGAGGGCTGGAGAGATGGCTCAACAGTTAAGAGCCCTGATTGCTCTTCCAGAGGTCCTGAGTGCAATTCCCACCACCTACATGGTGGCTCACAACGGTCTATAACTGTAGTCCCATGGGAGTCAATGCCCTCATCTGGTGTGCAGGTGTACATACAGACAACACACACACACACACACACACACACACACACACACACACACACACATATCAAAGAAAGAAACAAGAAGAGATGAACTGGTTAGCATAAAAAACTGTTTAGAGCCTAGGGTGGGAAACTTCTGGAACAATATTCATGCACGACCTCTGCCAGGAGTGAGGCAGACACGATCAGAACGTATCCTTCCCACTCACTGTGCCATGTATAATTACCAAAGCTGAGATTCTCTCCTCCTAGAGACACCGAGAGAGATAGGACTTTTG